CATTCATTTAGATAAATGTTTATTTTTAAACGTTCAAATAATAGATATACCGGGTGTCCCAGCTGAAACAGGCCACCTAAATATTTCCTTCGTTTTTTATAATATGAAAAATATGTTTCATAATATGAATGATTTGAAACGAGGAATAATCTGGAAAAAGAATTTTTTTTGTCAGCACATTTCTTCCTGTTTTTTTCAAGGTCATTGTTATATTCTATGTGAAAACACGTTTTTTCTCCTGCATCTTATAACGGATGAAAAAATACATTCTAATATATTTCACTCATGACTTTAAAATAACCTTCAAGTAACATAAGAAGTGAGAAACGTAATAAAGGGCATAGCTGAATAAGCATGGTAAAAGTGCCCCCAAACCGAATCGATCTTGGTGCATATCATTTGATAGATCACTCGAAGAAAACGCTTTCTGCCAAGTATCAAGCTGGTACCCCTACTACTAGGGTAGTTACAGGGTGAAACGCAATTTACAGTTTAAGCTCCGTTTCTCTTGTTCTACTCGATGAAAACTTATGAAAAATATCATGGATGTGCTACCCAATGGCGTACATGTCTGTGAATTTTTTCAGAACTATTGACTGCAAAATCGATTTTTAAAAAATTCGGGAAATTTATAAATTTTGTTTTTATATTGAAATTATCAAACGACCCCGTTTATATTTTTACAGTATTAGTGTCTTGTTATGGGTATTAATGGGTAATTTTTTCAGATTTTTCAAAGTGGGGGACGGCACCTAGAAAAATCAAAAACCGATATTCGTTTATATTATTATTTTGTAGGACGGTTGATGGTAACACTCTTTATTGAAACAGTGGATTCTAGGTACATATCGCCAGAAAGTACAAGTATAGGCGCGACTCGGACGGTCGTCAGCGAGAAGTTGCGGACGCGGCGATTATCACGAGGTATTACTCCTTGAGTCGGCCAGATTTTCCAGGGGGGGGGGGGTAATAGAGGAAGGGAGAGTGTAGAGATGGAAGAGAAATTGTCGTCTGTGAACCCGCGAAGGAGACGTCTGCTCTATGTTTGCTATGGTACTCTATGTTCGGCTTTCCCGGAAAGACTGATTTCTTACGGCGAAAAGTCGCCTTTTATACGTTTTAGGGAAGTTAGGCCCGAGCAATCAGGGTGGGCAAGCCTTTTCGCAGGTTCGGGGCATGCGAGCCGCTGTCCCACTACCTGAGGCTACGGGGGGTCGCGCCGTGCGTGCCTCTGGGCGTGTCGTATAATTAGGCGAAAAACAGTTACGCTACAATTTTAGTTTTTCGTGTGACCATGTTCATGTTTCTACAGTTTTAGCAGCTTGCTATGGTTATTAATGTATAATTTTTTCAGATTTTTTTTAGAGGTGTATCATACTTCAAAAAATTATAAACCGATATCTCCTAACCTTTCGAACGCAGAGTGGCAGACTCGTATAATCGACATACTTTATTCATTAAATGGTCGTTATGTGCATTTCCAAATACTTTCACATGTTTAAGTAAGTCAATACATTTAATTTGGACATATCCTGTTTTTTTTTTTACATGGGGAAATCTTAGAGATAGATTTACAAAACGTATTTTTTAAATTTTCATTACGATCTCAGATAAAAAAGTTGTAAAAACGACCTTCGCTATTTTCTTCGCGGTTCCGACTAATTGGTTTTTTTAAAAATTTATACAAACGTCGGAATGACGGAAAAAATCATTTCTCTAAGCTTTATAAAAGTAGCGGTGCAAAGTCAAATTTTTTTGACAGCGATCGATAACCCAGAAGTCACGCTTTACCACAGCATCCCCCCATTTTCGTGTGTTCGAGGAGTTACGGGACACCCTGTATACACGTTGCAAGATGAAGAAAAATTTTTACACTCGGGAGACTCGAGAACCGATGCATTCCCACATACGAAGAGAACGCCCTGTGCACTGACCTACTGTGGATTGTTGAATACTACTCAAACTTCCATGATTTTGTAGAACTGATTTCAATTGTTTATAAAAAGTATGCATTAGAGTGAAATATTCTGCACAGTATCATTTTCGACCTCTAGATTCATCCCTTTAAATTTCATCAAAATCCCCGGAGGATCTGCTGTAGGGTCCCCTTCTAAGTGTGTGCATCTTCGCTTAGTACGGCACTAACATACTCGTCGCGTGGTTGCCTGGCCTAGACCAGCGCACGAAAATTTCTTACTTCGAGTACAGATTTTAATTTTTCAGAACTAATTAACGAAACGTTACGTTAGAATGACTCCAGTTTCATCTTAGAATAGCTTGCGGAATCACCCTTTCAATTTAGTGTCTTAGGTAGCCAAACACCCTGCATACAGGGTGGTACTTTTAAATCGATCCCCTCAAACA